TGACAGGGCTTCTTTGCGGCTCTAGCTACATGGAATGTTGTATTTGACAACCCTAGGGTATTTCTTCTTATGGATGACAGACAAATGTTTATGTCCAACTAACTTTCTTTGGATACACTCTGACGGGCAGGGTACCTTATAAACTCACACTTAACTCCACTGGCCTTCAAGCACAGTAGGTTCCCATTAATTGGATGGTCTCAGGTTCTAACTGACAAGCTAAATCACTGTGTTACTGATGCTTGTGATGGTAAAGATGGTTGCCTTCATATTGGAAATGGTAGTTGGCTCTATGAGCGGTAGTAGTGATGTAATACGTGGAAACAGCTGTCTCTATAATGTTAGTGGTAGTCGTCTACACTGATTTCATGGTCTTTGACTCTAAATTGGCTTTTTAGTTGGTATGATTCTGGAAAGTTCTTAGATCTGAAACGAAAGAGACTGGGACATAGAAAATCAGGGACTTTATACATCAGTATCAATGTCTTGTAACTTCAAGATGCTCTTAGAAGGCAATGTTCAATTCACTAATATCAAGAAAGAAGTTAGTAAATGTAGGTCACTTGATCGTGTAATGCTTAATTAATACAGCAAACGCTCATTCTTTTTTCATTTAGGTGCATAATGTTCCTGTACTTCAGTCAGGAACCTCATGGGATAATTTATTTGGTTTGTTTTTCCTCTCTTTCAACCTTTTATCTTTTGCAAATGCCAAATCTTCCAGTAAACACAGTCAGACCAGTCCTTTTTAGTAGAGGTGCTTGTCCTTCTATGCGTTATTGTCTCATCCCTTTTGGTTTGTTGAATTCTATCAGATGTTGCCCTTTCCTTTCTCAAGCAACACTGGTAATTGTCATAGATCTAAACAGATGACTTTCCAAAGGTTCTTCTCTGCTGACGTTATCTATGGTATGGCTCTGCAAGCTGGATGCCTTAAGCAAAGCGCAACCTGGTAAACCATAATTCCTTATCTTTCATCTTCTACTTTTTTAAGTCTTCCGCATGGCAACTTGACATTTTTCAAGGAAAAAAAAATCTCGTGCTAAGACGAGAAAAAGTTAAAAATACATAATGCTTGGAGATGGCTTGAATGGTTAATGAAGAAAACTTTAATATAAGTTTTTCTTCATTACCCATTCAAGACGTCTCCTAGCATTATTAGTCTCAAAGTGTGTTCCTCGTCATCAAATTTATAAATACATGTTTGTAACTAAATGCTATTTCTTAGGATAGCACTGTTCCTTCTGTCTGAATTGAATTCCCTTTCTTCCACTAGATCATATCCTACCACATGTCCCTTAAGTGGCAACACCACACTATCCATTAACTTCCTACCACATGTCCCTTAAGTGGCAACACCACACTATCCATTAACTAATTATAATTGGCAATCTAGAAACGCTTCGGTGAAATAAGTACCACCTTACTCTTAATCACTTTATGTTTACAAAGATACGTGTTTGTTTCAGCTTTATCTTTACTCCTGTCAACTAGCTGTGGTTTCAAACTTTGGTTCTGGTCCTAAGTGTTACTAATCCTCTTGTTTCCGGTCATCAACAAGCGACTGCTGTATTGCTATTCACTATAGCATTGCCACTTCATTTGCAATGGATTTATGGCGGGACTAATAGCTCGTTTTATTATTCAAAAGAGGCGTCTCTTCGTCTATAAGTTACTTATCAACTGCAACTTCCTCGATCTTCTCTCCAAACAGAGATTTATTAACTCAAGTCACTAATATATAATCAGAAATAAAAGGTTTAAACATGCTTACTTATACAATAAAGAGAACTGTTTAAGCCAATTTGTTTTTTTTTAATCAAGCACAAAGCCACACAATGAGCTAGCTTTGCCCACCTTGGGTATCGAAACTCGGATTCTAGCGTTGTAAGTCCGCAGACATACCGCTGTGCCACAGGGGGCGTTTAAGACAAACAGTAACTTAGAAAAGGGCGGACTGGTAACTAACTAATAAAAAATCAAATGAATTCTAAAACACGGATAAAAAGAAAGGGAGACTTAAACTTTAAATCAGATTCAAATAACAAAACCATAAACAGGACGGATGTCAAATCATTGGATATTAAGTTGAACTTCTAAAATGGTTAGGGCATGGCCTAATGGTTAGCGAGGATCCATGGTTCACGCCTCGTTACCGCAAGATTTAGCTCCGCGCCTTGGGGTCGTGAGTACACTATATAAGCGAAGGTGAATCCATAATATAAGAGTAACCCAAGCGTATGTCGGGGGTGCTGTCCACTAATTGCTTTTCATCAAGTCTATCAATTCAGAGAACTCATGTGTAGCTTTAAACTAAGTTAAGATACTTACGTTTGACTTGGAAAACTCTGGAGTCATGATTTTACTTCATCATGGCCAACGATAGAAAGTACAGTAAAAAGTGTAGAGAATGCTTCCTGCTCCTTAAATGCCTATTAAAAAACCTTGTTTTACCTCCTACCTTGTAAAGCCCAGAGGTGATTTACCTACTACCTTGTAATGCCCAGGGGCATAACTAACCTTTAACAATAACAAATGGAATAAAAATTTAAACGCTGTTAAACAATCTTGTTTCCTCCGCTGTCTGGTCATGAAAAAAAGTCAGGTCACGTTCTAGGAAATCCCATTTTTTCCTTTTGGTAAGAAAATAAGGGAGATAGACAGTAGCTTGTTGGAACAACCAGAAACTGGTTGTCCTTGAACCAGTAATGGTGAAATTAACAAGAAACATAAAACAAACACGCTTATTACAAAGCGCTTTATGCTGATCTGAATTCATCATTGGTAGTCACAGGCAATACATTTAAGCAATAGATGGTTTAAGCTAAATTTAGCATGCAACACATTGTGGTTGAAAACTAAATGACACATGTAGACAGGGATTACAATTAGAACAATTAAAGAACCCTTAAACTCATAGGTTACAATATACATAAGTAAGGTGGTTCGTGTCTCCTCGGTGGACACAGCGGATAGCCCGATGTGGCTTTGCTATAACAAAACACATGCACATAAGCTACGTTAGTAGCATTGTATATTTGTTTGAAAAACTACACAGTGGGCTATGTGCGATGTATCCACCACAGGGGTTGAGGCTCCAATTATAGCGTTATAAGTCCTGAATGATACCGTTGCGCCATCAGGAGATTAACTTGTATAAATTTGTTAACATAACACTCCGACTATGAACTTACAGTTCATTCTTTATTGGTTTGACCAATTAATACCTATTTAGTTATGGAAAATGTCATTATTTTATTTAATCAAAGTTTTCGACAAAAACTGTCTTTAGTGGTTGTTTTACACACAACAAAAGTTAGTCAAATTTCAGTCCTTTTTGAGTTGATAGTATAAAGTATGAATTATTTATTTCTTATCAAAGAAGTTTTAAATAGTGACAAAATAATGTTAAGATGTTCTGTATAAATACGCTCCATACTCGTATCTAGAGGTGACTATTGGAAAGCCGACGAACTACTGGGATAGCTCTATGGAGAAGATACAAAAAGTTGTGAAGAGAAAACTCATATCTGAGTAGCTAGCTAGTGCAAAACTCCGAGCATGCAAAATACTGATCGGAAGAGATCTTAAGGGAAAGTTTGCATTCAGGGGCCTGACCGTTGGGGGGGGGGGTTCTAGCTGGACAAGAAATCTAGCCGCTTGTGGAGACAGTCTTCGTGCGATGTACCATGTAGCGGTAAAGCGACCCAGTCGTCTTCAGGCTAGCTTGAACAAACAGAACTGGTACCAGCGGCTTGAATTGGGCGAAGTACGTGACAGACGTGCAACGTCGAGTACGTATACTTCGCCGAAGAGTGTGTTTTTCATAAACTGGATGTTTCGAATACAAGTGAAAGATCAGTATCAGTTATATAATATTGAACTAGATTGATTTTAAACTGACAAAGACGACAGTAATGATTGGGAGGTGTGCATTATATTCAGGTATTCAACTACAATGTTTTACTTTCCACACTAATTAACAGTACTTAGGTATACGTTCTTTCAGCCATGTTACGTTATTCGCAGAAAACATTACTGTTTACATTTATGTTCGTATTTCAACAAGGATTGATCGCTTTGTTATCATGTTCAATGTTGGCCTTAAAAGGGGTGATTTTCACCCATGTTTAAGGACCACTAGACAAGTTTTTTCCCTTCGATAATTAGTGTTTTATAGTGTTTTCGAGTTCAGAACTGAAGCGTTCAGTTACTCTTCTATCTTTATGTTATTTTATACATAAATGGGCTTTTCAACAGCTTTGTTCAAGCTTTTGTATTACGTTTTTATGTAATAGTAATATGTTAGAAAAATATGGCTGTGATCAGGGTATAATATTAGGATATTATTCATTTCCGAAACTGTTTTATGATCATAGCTTTGATTTATTATGAGAGGAAGAAAATGTTTTTAGCCATAATCTTAATCTTTGTCCATAATTGTAGCTTTAGTTTATCATTGAAAAACTAATTGTTTTATAGCCATAAACCTGGTCTATCATTGAAAAACTAATTGTTTTATAGCCATAAACCTG